TTGTACTCTCGTTATACTGATGTAATATGTAAGCCAGTCTTCGGATGGCCCACCCGTTTGAACTAATAAAGTGCCAGAGGCCTAAGTGGTCACCTTAATATTAAAAAAAAAAATAAACTATAAACACTTACCCATGCTAAAACTTAAATAAACATAATATATATTTTAAATAATCATTTAACTTCCACTCCATGTCGCTTCACGATACTATGCTGCAGCCAATCAGTTGTCCTATGCTTGGGTCCGCTCCATGGCCCTGCACTACAGACACTTACTCATGCTAAATAAAACTAAAAATTTGTAAAAATGCAATTTATATAACATTACACTACACTATATATTTAATATAGTATAATTTATATAATAAATTTCAGCCAATTATTTGACTTCCACTCTGTGTCGCTTTGCGACACTTGCTTCAGCCAATCAGTTGTCCTTCGCTTGGGGCCCTGTGCTATGGACACTAACCCGTGCTAAAAAAACTAAAACTTATAAAAACACAACTCATGTAACGTTATACTGCATTAGTTTTGTGCAACCAAATCTATTTTTACATTTTACGGACAATGAGCCCTTGTGTAACCTACCTGCAGATTTGTGTTACACAAGTTACACAACCATGTAACACAAACTACACTATAAAAAAGCTAAAAATAACAACCAATCACATCACATCACTTAAAATCTATATGAAAATGCCCCGTGATCGCTCGGGGCATGTCGTGATTTCGGAATGCAAAATATATATATATAGATTTGTCAACCAATCAAATTGCGAAATTTACAAAAAGACGATTCAAGGGGATTCAAAAAATATGTTGTAAAGCAAAGCGAGAGCTTCATGTTTGTTTAATCATTTTCAATATTCATAGAAAAGATAAGTCAAAGAGCCTTCCAAAAAAATATTGTAAAATAATAAAAAAAAATTTTTATCAATTGTGTAACAATTTTGTGACGTTCAACGTTTCCTCATGTTGTTATTTTGCGCTTATACTTGTATACAATAATAAAACTTAATTCAACTTATATTTTGAAAATTTACAATTCTAATGATCTTTAAGATTAATTAGTTACAAATTATCTTATTAAGCAAATGTTACGATTTATTGTAAGTCTTGATTATTATAATCAAAATCTTTAAGATGATCTCAGTTAATGTGTAAATAACAGAAGATTTTTATCTACAAATTTAAATTCAAATATGCTATATACATAAAAATACACCAAAATCTCAATCTTGCAAATCGTATAGGTCATAGGATAAAATATTATTAAAACTAGAAATCGTTATATGATGACTAAAATAAATATTAAACAGGTCAATTTGAATATATTTTGCAATATTTTAAACTACTTTAATTGGCCTCATTAAAAAAAAAGAAACGACTTTATAATATAACTGTTAATGAAAATTGTCACGGATAATCGTAAAATCAAATGATCGTGAAATCTGGGGGCCTTAATTTAAAAATATAAACTTTACTAAAACCTACCTATACTCTTTTATTATAAATTCTAACCCTAAATCCTAGCCCAAATCCAAAAAAAAAGACAAAAAATATACCCTAAAAATTTTTAAAAATCATAGATTGATTAATTTAACTTTGTTGATAAAAATTTTATTATAATAAAAATAATCAAATATCTTACATGGTTTTTGATTTAACACCCTAATTATGTATAAACAATTTTTTTCAATTGTACTAAAAATGCAGTATGTCCAGTCGGTTCATGTGAAGGTCGACAAATATGACCTAAAGCTTGATCAGGTATCTCATCATTTAGAGTTAATTGTTTAACAGAAAAGTTTTCATCACCCATTTTGTCTCTTATAACTGTGGCTCTAACATTCCATGGTCTCCATTGTATTTCTAGAACTTGCTCAGTTGCTAACGCGATTTTATGATATTTGATTTGTTTTATTAATTCTAATACTTGAGTCATATTTGGCAAATAGCACACAATGTACCTATCAATTTTCAGGCGTGGAATGATTGAAGGTAGTTCATTCCACGGTTCAGGCATATCTAATGCCACACCATCATATATTGAAAGGGTAATATCCATAGAATTAAGTACTTTTGAACATTGACCTATGCTGAACGATACATAATCGGAATATATTCCACGTGAAAAACGCGCAACATTTCCACGTGCCTTAATACTGGCATCACGATTAATATCTATAGAATGTAAATGACCAGTGGGATATAAAGATCTTGCCAAATAGAGAGTTAAAGATCCATTACCTGTTCCAGCTTCCATTATTCGAGAATACGGGTGTAAATCAAGTAAGGCCACCTAAAATAATGAATTAATGATAATAAGAAAACAAAAAATCGGATAAACCAAGCTGAAAGTCACATTACTATAGTACTAGCATCTTTCGGATATATAGGTGTCATCAAACGTGGTATCATAACAACATACCTAAATTCATTAAGCGAATCAGTTTAATAAAGAAATAATACGGTAGGTATAACAAATTTAAATACATACTCATCCAAAGTAGGGAAATGTATAGTATATGACTTATCTGCAAATGTCAAGCATTCATCATTAAAAGAAGAAAGTTAATTATAAGATTAAATAATAATAAATACCTTTATTAGTCTTTACAATATCTCTAACAGACTTTCCGATAATATTAGAATGATCCAAAATACCACCTGGAATTTCTTTTTTATTACCAATTTTTAATGGGCCAATTAAGAAAACTCTTGAACTTTTAATTCTTTTTTGAGTATCTCGTAAAAGTACCATATCACCTTCTTCGAATCGAGATCTACAATATTTTTGTGGAATTTGAGGAAGAGGTGGAAGAGTGGCAACTTCTATTTTTTTTTTTTTTTTTGACATTAACATTAAATATAATAAAATTTTATCTATAAATAAATTTTGATAAATTACCCGAAGCTACATTCTTGCTTGAGGTTTTTTTTAAGGTAATGTCACATTTTAAGACATTTGCACTTGCATGTAACCCATTTTTTTGACTCGTAATCTTGGAAAAAGCGCGACACATTATGGTTGGAAAGGAGGTGAATCGATAACGTAAAAAGAAATGATTCATTATCGCTATTGTTACGGGGTGAATCGTATCCTTTTAATAAGATAAACACGAAAATACAATAATTTAGGTAATAAGGCAACTCGCCAGAGACAATAGTTTAGTTTGTTAAACGATATTATTAAGGTGATTTATTCAATGTATTATGTAGGAAATATTACAATCCCGTAGGATAGTTATCCTTTACAAGAGAGAAATTACAGGGTTTTTATAACTTTCACTATCCTAATGATCTCAAGAGGCTTAGGGATAAATCGAATCTTCATCACGAAGAATTAAGGAAAAGATCACTATAACTAAGGGGCTTACAAAGATAAGTACAACATGATTATAATAATGAAGGCTTTGCCTTTACAACATTTTATATTATTACTACTTCTAATTATTTCTTGATTCTTGTTTTCTTAAATAGAATTTACAGGTTAATTTTAATTAGTTTAGTTCAAAGTCTTTAAGAAACTTATTTGACGCATTTTACTAAATCATCTCTGTTTTTATAGACACATTGAAAATTTTAGGATGAGTTTTTTTCTGATTTAATTTTTTTATGAATAAATTTATTCTGGTTTGGACAGTGAGTACTATAACTGAGAAACGCTCAAAAATGAATCAGTCGGGTTCGTATATTTAAAAGAAAAAAAAATAATAATACTTTGTTTTTTTGTACAGTAGCAAAGAGTCCATAAGATTATTGGCGTATTGATTTAGCTCAATTCTGAAAAAATTTACTTTTTTTATTCTATCATTGTTTGCTAAAAAGCTTTCCAACGGGACACTTTAAGAACAGTTAACCCAGTGATCGACAATCATTTGATAAACATATCATGACGTCATTTGTTTACCAGAATTAAATAAACTGGCCTAAACTATATCCTAAATTAACCCTAAACTAACCCTAACTTAGGCCGAATGATGGTCATGTGATATCGTGATGATCACTGGGTTAACTCTTCTTAAATCTTCCCCTTTCCAACATCTTGATAAGTGATATTGTATGCGTGCTTACTGCAACCACACCATGCAATGATAACCAAATGATAATTAATATTTTTTATAAATACAATTTCCAAATTAAGGAAGATCCGTCACTAAAATTTTAATATTTCTACCAATGTAGTTTCAACACGAATTTTTTTATGCATTCAAAAATTCCATAAATAGATAAATTCATTTGGAGCACACAAAAAAAAAAAAAAATCATCGTCTTTATCTCAATCTTTTTTCATCAAATTTTCATCAATTCTTATAATATTATCAAATCTCATATACATGATGGCTGCATCGAAAGCTATCGTTAAATGTGTACTTTCCGGAGATACACTAATCATCCGTGGCAAACCTACCGGAAACCAACCTCCACGAGAAAAGCAATTAAGTCTGGCTTATATCCAGGCGCCGAGAATGGGAAGTCAGAAAAAAGATGATGAAGTAAGGGGTTGTTTAGATTCAGGTTGATCCAACCGAATTGATACTAAGATGAAAATATCATTTGCATACAAAAGTATAATTATATGTAAAAATCCATCATTGTTTTATTTAGCCTTTTGCATTCGAATCTCGGGAATATCTTCGTTGTCTGATCGTGGGTAAAGAAGTTACATTTCGTATCGACTACACTATTCCTACCACAAATAGAGAATATGGGACGGTTTTTTTGGGGAGTGAAAACGTCACTCAATTGATTGTAAAAGAAGGATGGGCAAAAGTTAGGGAAGACGGTCGCAAGAATAAGGATGAGAGTAGAGGTGAAGAAGTGGATAATCTTGTTACATTGGAATCTGCTGCGCAAACAGCAGGTAAAGGAGTGTGGGGAGATAAAGACAAGGTAGAAAGCAATTCACGAATGTTTGCATCATCTATTTATATATTATCATAAATAACTTGTATGTTCACCTAATATTTTCAACATAGTATTCTCGCAATGTCAATTATACATTACAAGAAGATGCTCGAACGTATTTGAACAAATATAAGGGTTTAAAAGTTGATGGTAAAATAATTCTTACGTCTTTTATTTATTTATTTATTTTGTTCGTATATTTGTCGTTTCACAGACGAAAACTGTTTAAATTTTATAAGGCATTATCGAACAAGTACGTGATGGGTCTAGTCTTCGCGTCTTATTCATTCCTCCAGCGCCTGCGCCCCAACAATACCTAAATATAAACATATCTGGCATAAAAGCTCCAACTGTACGAAAGGATATTCCAGACGTGGAAGATCTTGTAGAGCCTTATGGCGAAGAGGCGAAATATTTCGTTGAATCAAGATTGTTACAAAGGAATGTAAAGGTGATATTAGAAGGGTTATCTGGAAACAACCAAGCCTTTTCGGCGACCATTTTGCATCCTGCAGGAAATATTGCAGAATCTATTGTAGCTGCAGGTTTGGCCAAAGTTGCCGATTGGAGTATTACAGTAGTTACAGATGGTCCGACTAAATTGCGCGAAGCCGAAAAGTAAGCAATCAGTGTTCTTTATATATTTTATGATTTCAAGCGATTTATTTTTATAAAAATCTTAGGAAAGCCAAAGAAAAGAGAATACGTCTTTGGCAAGACCATGTTATAAGAAATAAAGTTGGAGGCGATGATCATGATTTTGAAGGCACTGTGCGTGTACTTCTATATTTCTTTATTATTATACTCTTTATTAATTACAATCACTCATATTTACACGCCTGCATTCTTTGAATGAAGGTTACGCGTATAGTCTCTGGTGACACACTTCATGTAAGAGTAAATCGCACTGGAGTTGAAAAAAAAGTACAATTATCCAGCGTCAGACAGCCAAAGTATGCATATGTTCAATGCTCTACTGTTAATGCATCTATCAAATTTTAGAATAATCATTTATATTTTCTTCCTCATTTAAATAGACCAAAAGATACCAAATTTCCGGAATATAATTTTGAGGCTAAAGAATTTTTACGGAAGAAATTAATCGGCAAAACTGTAAATTATCATTTAAACTTTTAACCAATAACAGAATGCAATTTTTTTACATTATTGAATTCTTTTTTAATTTGTATTACTAGGTTCGAGTAATAATTGATTATCAAAAGCCCGCTTCTGAAGGATATGAAGCAAAAGAATGTGCCACAATTAAACTTGGGGATTTGTAAGTTATTATTATTTATAAATGTAGTCATAATTATTGCTTAAAAATATAATAAATATTAGTTTTATATAGTAATCCAGCCGAGGCGCTTGTTGAACGAGGGTTGGCGCATATTATTCGGCACAGAAAAGATGACGAAGATCGTTCTAGTTGTTATGATCAACTTTTAATAGCCGATCAAAAGTATGCAAGTATTGCTTGTATTATCACGTGAACGCGATAATTTGGATACAGTTATAAATAACAAATAAATAAATAATAAATATAGGGCACAAACAAATGGCAAAGGAGTACATAGCGCCAAGGAACCGCCGGTTTACAGAATTACTGATGCTTCAGAGGTATGTTTAAAATATTTTATGATTCCTTATGATTGTTTGTTGGAAATATATCCGTTTTGTTCAAATTTCAAAAAATTTCGAATAGTCTTTATCAAAAGCTCGTCAATTTTTACATTCTCTGCAAAGATATGGTCGCGTTCCTGGTATTGTTGACTTTGTAAACAGTGGATCAAGATTTAAAATTTATATCCCTAAAGAAAGTTATAAGCTAACGTTTGTGCTCAGTGGTATACGCTGTCCTCGACCTGGTCGTACTCCCACAGATAAATCTGAGCCATTTGCTGTTGAAGCACTTGAATTTGCAACACGTAAAGTATTACAACGCGATGTCGAGATAGAAGTGGAAAATGTTGATAAAATGGGCGGGTTCATAGGTTCATTATGGTTAAATAAGACGGAAAATTTTGCGACATTGTTACTACAAGAGGGTTTTGGAGTTGTTCATTCGTTCAGTGCTGATCAAAGCTCTCATTCTAAGGAACTATATGCTGCTGAGCAAATTGCCAAGGACGAGAAAAAAAATGTTGGTAATTTATGTAATCTAAATTTTTTTTTTTTAATCACTTATATATTATATATTTTTCATAGATTTGGTCATCACAAGACTCGGATCCCATAAATGAAGTAAATGATACGACAACAACCGATGAAGCTGAGCCTCGCAAAGAATATGTAGATGTTGTAATTTCAGAAATCATTTCAGGAGGGCATTTTTATGTTCAAGTTGTCAACGAGAGCAACATTCGTGGTTTAGAAAAGATGATGTCTGAGTTTGGGTTTTACCATAAGAACACCGCCGCAATACCTAATGTTGATAAGATAAAAACAGGACAAATAGTTAGTGCTCAGTTTACTGAGGATGACCAGTGGTAGCTATATATATATTGTATTTTTTGTGATTTTTTGTTTAAAATCATTGTAATAAATAATTTTTGTTTATTGTAGGTATCGTGCTAGAATAAGAAAGAATATTCCTGAGAAAAAGAGTGTAGAAGTTGTATATATTGATTATGGAAATGTATGTTCAAAAAATTTCTAAATGAGGTTTAAGTTGTGTGCTTTTTTTAAAGAATAATATGGCTTCCTTCAGTCAGAAACAATTCCATTATCCCGAATTCGATCAATTCCTGAGAATTTTAGGCAATTACCCCCACATGCATATGAGGCAGTGCTTTCGTTTTTGAAAGTACCAGACCGCGAGGTAATATATATAGGTTCAAATTAAATACGTTTCATAATTTACCATCGATTAACTTATCCCTTCTATCAGGCTGACTATGGTGCCGAAGCCTACGAAAGGCTACGAGACTTTGTTGGTTCCAAACAGCTTGTTGCCAATATCGATTATCGAGACAATAATTTAATTCATCTTACTTTATATGATCCAACACAATCTGAATCATCCGATGCGTCAATCAATGCTGAAATGGTTCGTGATGGATTAGCATTGGTAAATAATAAATTAGGATATATTAAAAAATATCCAACTCTGGTTAAGAAATTGTTTGAGTTACAAGAACAGGCGAAGAAGGATAGGGTAAGTGCTTTTTTTCGTGTTATCTCTGATGAACATCTTTTTGATATACTTAATTATTTAGGTGGGAATGTTCGAGTACGGTGACGTTACTGCTGACGATGATGAAAAATATTATTAAATAATTTTATCACTAAATATGTAACATATTAAGTTTTGTTAGTTTAGATCTCTTAGAATTTTAATATTTTTGGAATTTTTTTCTTTATTTATTATTAACATCAAATTTGTCGACCTTTTTTTTTTTCAAAAAAAAAAAAAAAAAGCTGTATTTAATAGTTTTAAAACAGTCATTTATTTAATCATGTATTTGTATTTAAAGGTTTTTTTATTTTTTATTGATAAATGCATATCTTAATTCAATGATACAAATATTATAAAAAATAATAGTAAATGAATACAAAAATTTTAATCAATTCCTACTGCCATTAGTGTTATTATGCGTATTGTAGTTGAGTTGGATATTTTTTTAATATTATTATATACAGTATATATATAGTAACATTTTAAATATGGGAAATCGGATCGATGATGCAATTTAATTTATGACGTATCTATTATATTACGAATATACGTATAGGCAGTGTTGGGCTGGACATTGAACATGTCCATTGGACCACCCATGTCCAGTCCAGTCCAATCCATTGGACCATAATCAATTTCAACAATTAAGGTAAATTAAGATAAAAATAGAATTTTGCATATTCAGGGATAATCGGCGATTCGCTATTTCATTAAGTTAACCAGCATTAA